AGACTGATATATTTTCCTGGACCTCACAACATCTGGACCAAACAACTCTACATCAGCACTCTATAAACTCTGTGGAATACAGTTTGTAAGGTGCTGGATAGTCTCGTGTGTTACTGTTATTAACACCACACTCGTCAAGCCAGGAGAAAGGTTTGTGTTGTCAGCTTGTCGACCCCTGCTGGCCATGAGTGGGATCTGTAGAATAAGAAATGTTAAACTACAACCTTTTAAATGAGACAGAATTCCACCTAGAGAGAACCCAAAAATCTGAATGAAGGGATCAATGTTAAAAAAAAAAAACTTTAATATTTTTAAATATATCTACATAAAAGAGGAAATCTAATATCTATAAATCAATCAATAATAAGTTTTTTGTATATTTACCAACTTTTATCATAGAGTGAAATGCTTTTATCTGAGCTGCCTGTTTATTTTAATGTTTTTCTAATTTTCTTATTATCTTGTCCCTCTTGTCTTTTATCATTCACTGCAGTTTTTAGTTTGGTCTTTATCTGTGAAGCACTTTGTACTTTGTTTTAACAAGTGAGCTATAAATAAAGTTTTCATAAATTCTCAGATTTATATGTAAATATTTCCATGTGATTAGAACTTTTAATTCATTCAGTGGTTTAGATCACAATGTGTTGAGGACTGCTGTATTAAACCCACAAAAGGTTAAATAAATACATTTCTGGGACTTTTGGGGCTCCAAATAAAATGTCAACAAAAAGTACAGGAAGTGTAAAACCTAAAATGTAAGCACAAATTTGTTGATTTCTTCTAGAAATCATTTTGCCAATTTTAGACTACATTTTATTCAGACGACTTCTTGAATAGCTGAGTGTATAATTACTTTGCCAAGTGAAAACAAAGGATTTGTAGAAAACATTTTTATAGAACTTCTTGAACTTTTGCTTTTGGTATCAAAACCATCCTTGATCCCTGTGCATGTGTTTTAGGTGGAGCAAATATTAGATTCTTGCAGTATTATGTTGTAGTCTGGTTTGGAAGAACTGTGAAAAACTAATGTTGCAGGTGTCGCAGGAGAACGTAACGCGCTCGGCCACAGACAGGAAGAGGATAGTGTCACGTGCATCAGGAGGCGGCGAGCGGCGACGCATTATGACTCAGATACCACTTAGGAAGGAAGCGAGACCCCTGATAACAAGCTATTTTAAATACTAGGTACCTGCCTGACCGTCTGTATTAAATTTCTAACTCTAGGTTCAAAAGTTTCCTAGTCCACCGCTGTAGCCTCCTCATGTGCAAGAAGGAAGCCCAGGGGAACCACCATGTGAGCTGCCGACATGACACCCAGAAACCTCATGATCGATAGAGCCGTTACTACCGCCCATGGAATGACACGCCGGAGTAGCCCCATCAGAGCGTCCACCCTCTCCTGAGAGAACTGCGCTCTCCAGTGAGAAGAGTCCAACATCACTCCCAGATAGGTGAGCCTCTGGGAGGGAAGAGGAGCGCTTTTCTTCCAGTTCACCGTAAAACCAAGGTTAGACAGGTGTGCGACGAGCCTGGCCGTCTGCACCACCGTCTTCAGGTTGATGGAGGTGAGCCAGTGCCCATGGAGCTCTACCTGGAGGGTAGTGATCTGAGCCAGAGAGGAGAGAACCATCTCCACTATACCGGCGAACTGCAGCCTGTGACCCTAGCGGATCAGACTGTTCATCAACCTGTCCATAGAACAGGAAACAAGCCACTCCTAGTAGCGCTCTGAAAGTGGTCGGACCTGCTGATGAGGTGCCGTGGTGGCCATATGTGTATATATGTAGACCATGAGCAGGCCAATAGGGAGCTGTGCCTGCAACAGCCTCGGGCAGACGGTGTTGCTGGCGGTCCTTCTTGCGGCCGCAGCAGTCTTGCCGGGGAGTGGCAATAGGACAACACCACACACAGGGTTGAGTGTCATCCCACCGTGCAACGCCACTGAGGAGGAGACGCCTCTCGTGGAGTGCGCTCTGATGCCATCCGGGGGAGACTCCCCGGCAGACATGTAAGCCTGGGAAATGGCATTGCACAGCCAGTGAGACAGGCGCTGCACCGACAGGGGAAGTCCCTTGGACTACTCCCTGTAGTGTACAAACAGACGCTGTGAACGGCGCCAGGCGGCCGTGCACGCCACATAGCAGGACAGCGCTCGCACCGGGCAGAGGAGGTGGGACATGGCGTCCTCCACCGCCTCATGGGGGAGGAAAAGAACCCGAGAGTGTGATGACCCGAGACCGAAAGGAGTTCGCAATGCTTTTAGGCACAGAACAGCCAAGCTGCCGTCACCCTGAATCTTGAGACAAGACGGAGCCACAGAGAGGGCAGCCAGATCGCTGACCCGCTTGGCCGATGTCGGAGCCAGGAGCAAGGCGACCTTAGCCGAAAGGAATCTCAGGTCTGCCGTCTCCGAAGGCCCAAACGCCTAAACCCAATAGCGATAGCCTTAGAGGGCGAAGCCTATACGAAATAGAACAGGGGTTACATACTGTAACCCGGATTCTATGAGTATAGGCGCAGCCCTCTAAGTTGAAGACCTCACTGGACCTTGGTTCTCAGCGCTGAACAAAAGGCATTTGGAAGCCAAAGGCTGGATGTCGGCGCATGCGTCACTCACCACCAACTCTTTGAAGACGGTAATAATTGTCATGCTAACTGCGTGTGACTATTAGCGCTGGTGTTTCTGAATAGGATTTTTTTTTCAGTGAGACTCATTTGCATAGAAAGGGGCGAATTTTGCACCAAACATATCCATAAGTCTATTACTTAATTTAGATATGGGGTGGTGATGGGCGCAGTGGATAAGACACATGCCTTTGGTGTGAGGGACCCGGGTTCAAATCCACTGTGACACACCACTGTGTCCCTGAGCAAGACACTTAACCCCCAGTTGCTCCAGTGGCATGCCACCTCTGACATGGATAGCAATTGTAAGTCGCTTTGGATAAAAGCGTCAGCTAAATGAGTAAATGTAAATATGAGCAAATAGCATGGGATCACAGAGACGCTATTTGCTTGGCAGTGCAGTTAGGGGTGCATTTCACCCTTAGTGGGTGCTTTGAGAATTAAGTTTCTTATTTGTGCAGGTTTAGCAACCGCAAAAGCCGTGCAACCCTTTTGTGAATTTGATTCTTTTATAGTGAGAGTTAGATTGAGGTCTGTAATCTGTATGCATCTTGACTCTTATTTGCAGGATCTACAATCTGATGAGCTGAAGGGCGCAGCACTGACTTTGTATTCAACCACAATAAGGAACAGGAGCCTGCATCAGAGAGAGAAGTAGAAACTTTATGCTGCCAGCAGATAAGGAAGAAGTTGTAACTGCATGCTGTGATATGATGCTTTATCATGTGAAACTGTTAATGTGATTCTTTTCTATAAGTGATGAGTATGAAGAACTAAGATTATGCATTCATACAAAATTGGAAATATTTGATACATTTTGTCTTTCTGCCAAAAATTGTCCTGATTGATGTTTGATGGAGGAGGAGAAATAAGGGCAGTGATGACTGAGGGTTTATAGTGATCGTGAGATGGAGGTCTGCAGCAGTGGAGAAGTGAGTGAGTTACACTTGTCTGACAGGAAGAGACAACAGAGTGAGGTGAAAATCATGAGGCCTGTTGACTCCAAGCACTGTGCAATAAAATCAAGTCTAGCAATGAACATTTGTGTACTGTCTTCTGCCAAGTAGACAAAATAAGAAACATTGAAACTAAAGGATTTGAAACATAAAATGCATGTTTCAACTGAAGGTATGCTAAGTGACTAATTTAAAAACGCAATTTAAAATGATCCCTAGCATTTGTACAAAAAAATTCTTATGATCTCCATCTGCACATTGTTGCATTGTGGTAACAAACAGCACTATCTGTCTCAGTGAGGTCTGTAACATGGCTGAGGTCTTCCTGTAGTTGAGATCTGTATCACGAGTGAGGCCTTCAGCTCTCTGCATCAGAGCCACACACAACAAAGGCCTCATGTTCCACGAGAGCAATAAAGCTTCATCATGACTTTTGAAAAGATATTCTTGGTGTATTTATTGAACCTGTTATCTAAATGTGTCTCTTCTAAAAGCGTGAGAAGATGTAACGTGACACTTGCACAGCCTCATATGAAACCGTTCACTCTCCTCCAGGCAGCACTTTTTTCAGACATGACAGACCACAGCAAAGCTACAGTGGGTCCAGCCCCCCACTGTTTGCAGTTATGATGAAAACCTTCATTTACACTTGGCTTCAAACATTTTTTTAAAGTATGTTTTTGGGGCTTTTTGCCTTTATTTTGAAAAGGACAACTAAAGAGAGACAGGAAATGCGGGGGAGGGGGGTGAAATGCAGAAAAGGACTGTGGGCTGGACTCAACCCCAGGCCTTTCAGATCAGAACTCCGCCTTGTACAAGGGGCGCCCACTCTACCAAGTGAGCTAACTGCCGCCCCCTGCCCATCAGTTTTAAGTGTACTCATCATTGGCAAAATGATAAAATTTGAAATTATAACCAAACTTTATTCTATCAGCATCACATTACTGTGAAGTGATAATGTTGCCAAGTGATTTTTATCAATAGTTGTTTTATTTACTGCAGTAAATTTCATAATGTAAATAAAATCAGGACCTTTGGAACTTTTGTTGAGGGCTGGGGTTACTTATTATAGACACAGATGACACAAGTTTTTAAAATGACGAGAGCAGGCTAAAAAAAGTACCCGAACAACGTAGATCTTGATCAGCCTTTTGAGAGTACCTGGAATAACATTGAGAATATGAGTGAGTGGAATTCACAACATGATGGGTCCCCAAACTCCCAACACTACTCAAGCCCATTAGCCCCCCACAACAAATTAGTTTAACTTTGTGTGGTACTGTAAACTTTATAAGTCACTCCGCAACGCTTTGGTGATGGTTTTTCACAAGTGCTGGTGTGATCAGTGTAAATAACAACATACAGCATAATGAAATGTCCCGCCTCTTCAAACCCTGACAGAAACTCTGTGTTGTAAAGTGTCATTTCAGTGGCTCGATCATACGCACAATGAGGAACCTGACTACAGCTTTCCTTCTCTGCAGCTTCAGTAAGTACTGCCACTGAATTACTCCACAGCTGCGTACTATTTATAAAATCATATATAAAAGCATTGATTACATTCCTGTTCTCTCTCAGCAAAATGATTTCTGCTGTTTGTTTCAGGTTTTATCTCTGTGTCAATTTCTGAGTCTCAGACTGTGGAGGTCCAGTCTGGTGAAGACGTCACACTGTCGTGCTCCAACTTTTCCAGTTCAACCACTCAGATATACTGGTTGAGAGTGGTCAAGAGAGCCGAGCCCCGTTGTATCGCCTTTATGTTCAAGCCTCTTGAGCCTGCTGAATTCTGTGATGGATTTCAAAATGGCAAATTTGAAGCATCATCCAACATTTCTACTCTCTTTCTCAAAATAAAGCAAGTGGAGTTTTCTGACTCCGGACTGTATTTCTGTGGATATTACATAACCAACAATCCGCTTATTGTCGTTGCAACGTATTTAGAGGTTGAAGGTAAGATGGTTTTAGTTTGGTGTGTCTTTTGATAGACCTATTTGGTGCTTGTCAAAATAAGGTTTTCAATGTAATACTATCAACTTAATATTTAATTTAAATGAACCTAGTGATGTGGAAATTGAGTTTGAGATTTTAGATTCATTTGATAATTTCACTTTTAAATTCTTCCTGCCTCACATTAAATCTTCTGTTTCATTTTTTTTAAATATTACTCTAATTTATCAGAAGCAACTCGAGGTAAAATGTACAGAATCTAACTGAACAATCTTGTTTATTTCTCGTAGAGGTGTCTTATGGAATAACAAAGCTGAGTGTGATCCTGGTCAGTCTGATTATTTTCCTCATTATGATCATCATTTGTCTGGCTGTTAAAATCACAAAGCGTCATAGAGGTGATTGTACTTAATTTAACTGTATTTCCACATTCTTTTTTAAGTTGCACCTACAACAGACAAGTTCACAAAATTAACTAAATGCATTATTGTTCAAAACCATAAACCAAACCATTTTTTCTGTCTTTCAGCTCATGTTGAAGAACAGAATCCACGATGCACAGAGGTGAAGTTTATTATGTTTCATTATTAAATGTTTGTATATCACTTCAAGTCATTTGTTAGTTAATGATAAATGTCTTCTTTTGGAAGCTACTGTGTGAGAAATGAGTGACTGAAAACACTTTTATTCAATCACTGAATCAGGGCTCAGATGACCTGAACTATGCAACAGTGACTTTTCGTCCAAAAACAACAAGGAACCACAAGCCTGCATCAGAAGAAGGGGAGCCAAATTCGGCCACCAGATAGAGCGAGGAGACACCTGGACGGCAGCTTGAAGTGAAACTTGCTTTTTGTTATTAATACGCTGGTGTGTTTTAGTGTGGTTAGTGTTGGACCAACTTTGTGACAGAGAGTCATACAGAGAGTCATACAAAATATTCAATGTTCTTGTTAATGCTGATTTTTTATTTCTTGCTGTGGGTCACACTTTTGACCGCCTTACATGTCGATCTGAGAGCAGAAGAATATTGTGTTTGATAGAGGAGGATCACTGAAGTTTAGCTCTCATTTCAACAGTACCAGGGTATAAAAACTGACCTAAGTTCAGCAACACCTCGAGAAGACAGGAAGAGACGGCACAGTGCAGTTCAAACACTACTTAGTGTAATTCATGAGGCCTGCTGCAAAGCTCTGTAAGAGTAAAAGAAGCAGTGAACGGTGGTTTAATGTTGTCTGTCAAGCAGACGAAGAAGATCAGCCTCTATATATGGATACATGGAAGCTTTTCAAAAACATACAGTCCATCCCTAAATTAACGGTATGGGTGAGGCATCTTTGTCTGTAAGAGAAGTCTCAAACTCTAAAACTCACAGCCTCACATTCACTCTACAGGCTGGACACGTTGAAGACATGACAGATCACAGCAGCTACAGCAGGTGCAGCTCCATCCATCTCCACTGTGAGATTTTACATTGACATTTATTCATTTAGCTGACGCTTTTATCCAAAGCGAAAATATATCTAACTTTATTATTTTGACATGACAATAATATATGTTTTGTGATATTGTAGGAAACGATCATTTTTACATCATAATTCTCGTTTTCATTGAAAAACATATTAAAACGTTTTTTGAGGGGATCTGTATCAAACAAAGGTGTGTAGGCCAGGACATCTCTGCAACACGACAATATTTAATTTAAAAATGGTATTTTTACATACTTTTCACCTTTAACAAACATTGCGCCTCCTGCTATTTAAACATTTTGGTAGACCATATTGCAGTTAAAATCTTTCGTTCAGCCCTACATTCAATGCAATTGTGTTTGCAGGATCCCAGTCACACACAGATCACACACACCGAAAATATGTGCCCGACTGCTTGACCACATATCTGTTTTAAACCTGCTTATTACTGGCCTGCTAATAAAATTATTACTATTCATTACTATTATGAGCAAATTGTCGATATGTCAGTATGTAGTTTTTTAGCATAAGAGACACATTTACTATTATCTGAAGTGTAAACTTACACAATGTAATTAACATCCACCATTTACCTCAATTGTGTAATACTGTGTGTACTGCTGGTATTGATTATTATTTTGATGTCCCTGCTTTGTCAACATCTTTGCCTCTCTTGGTTAGGGTAAGGGTTACTTGTTTATACAAAACAAGCTTGAACATCGCAAGTCATTTTGAGAGATGCTTTGACAGTTGCTTTGCTATTTTTGTAGGCGGGTTTTGTTAACGCAAATTGCTGCTGAAACAGTGTGGAACCGCAGAGCGCTTCACATCCATGGAAGAACTTAGAACAACTGAAGTAAAGTGAATAACTTTGTAGTGTAGCACTTGTGTGATAAGTGTAAACATCAAGATAAGCATCAAACACAGCCCAGCTTGTTAAACGCCTTTACAGTGTCATAAAGTCATTGCTGTGGCACGATCATACATTATGATCTTCAGCTTAATAACAGCTTTACTTTTCTGCAGCCTCAGTAAGTATCAGCTACATGTCTAACTATTGATACATTATTAGATAAAAGCATAAACTAAGTTCTTGTTGCTCTGTCAGCCAAAGGATTACGATTTCTGCTGACTGTCTTTACCAGGCTGGATCTCTGAGGTTGAGCGTGGTGAAGACGTTAGTAAACGTTTCTCTGATTTTTCAAGTTCTCCCACTCAGATAATCTGGTTCAGACTGGTCACCAGAATTCAGACCTGCTGTGTTTGCTCAATGTACAGCTTTATTGAGCCTGCTTCATTCTCTAGTGGATATCACAATGGACCCAAAATCTCTGCTCTCTTTCTCAGAATCAAGCTAGTGGATTTATTTGACTCTGGACGGTGTTTCTGTGGGTTTTTTGTTTTTCATATTTAAATGTTCAAGTTAATATTGTTGTGAAGTTTTGTCTGTCTGTATTTGGAAGAAAAAAAGATATGCGGTCTAATTGGTTATTGTTAAAATAAGGAGAATGTTGAATTTGTGTCAAAATAAGAGCAACAACGTTAAAGGAATTTTATCGTCATAATTTTGGAAGGCAACTGTGTCCCTAATGAGAACATGGAAATTTTAGGTCTCCCTGCCTCTCATTAAAATATCTGTCATTGTGCTGGCAGCTGTTTATTAATTGTTCCACAGAGGCAGGTTTGTCCATTTAAATGTTTGCTAGATCTGTGTAGAGAAAGTCTGAGTTATTCATTTCCCTTGTAGAAGAGCCTGATGGAACACAAAGCCTGACCTGTGTGATCCTGGATGCTCTGACTGCGAAGTACCTGAAGTTCCTGATTTTAATAATGAGGAAAACAGAGCTGTATTAAATTTTATTTTATTTTCACATTCTTTTCAAGTCAGTATTATAAACAAATCCAAATCTCCCTGCTTACCAAAGAGCAACATTTTAAAATAATAATTATTAACTAACTGACCAGGTGTGTTTTTTGTCATTAAGCACATGGAGAACAGGGTCTGCAGTGGTCAATTCAATTATTAGGCTGGATTAAGGAGTTTATTTTTTAATGTTTGTGTTTCAGATGGTAATATCATCATTCCAAGTAATTTATGAGCTGACAATTTTTCTCTCAAATAAATATTTTTTTTCAGAGTGTGGACAGAGAAATCAATATAAAACGAATCAAATCAAATTTTTCATTGAAGGCAGCGATGAAACTCATGATGCCGTCAATGGTGAGTGTAAATACAGGATTCTTATTCTTATTATTTCTTTCATTGAACAGATTGTTGATGTAAAACAAAAATTCAGTTTTGTACATTTTTGTTTTTGTTTCATGTTATCATCTTTCTTGTAGAAAAGCCTCATGGAAAAACAAATCTGACACGTTTGATGATGGGTGCTCTGATTGTTTTTCTCATAGTCGTCATCATCGGTCTGGTTGTTAAAATCTGGAAACTTCAGACAGGTACTTTTAAGAGCTCTGAATCTATGTTTGGTTTTGTTCACTCATCCTCTTTAAAGTTGCACCGGTGTGATGGAACAATCCTAAACTTCCTTTGTGCCAATCGCAATTAACTGTGACATTTATGGACAGTAATGCTAAATTATCGAACTGACATTTGTCTCTGTCATATGTGCAGCTCATGATGAAACCACAGGCCGGCGGCAGAGCTAGAGCTGGAGACAAATGTGGTGTACACTGCCATCAGACAGACTCAGGAAACAGCTGGAACTGCAACTCTGTGTGGAACTGATGCTTTATCATACAAACCTGTGCATGTGACTTGGTGCAACTAGTGTTTTGGAGGAGTTACCATCACTTACTACCATGTTTGTTGCCACCACCAAAAATCAGATTTTGTAGTAAAGATACATTCAGCCTTTTTGGTTATGCTGCGTTTTAATTCTCATCCGTGTCTAATTAAATCTAGCTTATTTTGTCGGCCTTGTCAGTTGACAGGAAGCACAGTGTGGTCTGAGCACAACTGATATGTGTTTGCATGCAGTAGAGGGCGTGAATACTAAGTATTGATACCCTGCGTTTTAGTTTCCATTGTGGTGATGATCAGTAACAGCTAAATGTTAAGACTCCACCACAGGAAGGCCGGCTATCAGCTCGCTGCATTATAACAGCACACAATAAACACCTTCTTAGTAAAATCCCTTAAAATATTCTTTAAACAAAGTGATGTTTTCTGTTTTAATCAGAGACCCAGTTACTTCATTCATCATCACACAGTGGTCAACTTCTGTTTTATCATGCGTGAAAGATGTCTGATAAATCAGAGGCCTCGAACGTGCAGACTTGCAGAATCACACGTGTGAAACCACAAAGTCAGATAACAGATGTGTGAAATTACTCCGAACCCTAAATGAAAGTACGAACATATTTACAGTACAATCTGAACAAGAAAGAGAAAGTGACAAGTGACATCTTTTTTTGGTCCATGCTGAAATAATGGGGACAATTTAGGGCGGGAACATTGTTCCTTTTTATAAAGTGAGTCAGATAATTCATTAAATATAACCACTAATGGTTCTGAAAGTGAACAAACAATAACTACTTAATAGACTGATATATTTTCCTGGACCTCACAACATCTGGACCAAACAACTCTACATCAGCACTCTATAAACTCTGTGGAATACAGTTTGTAAGGTGCTGGATAGTCTCGTGTGTTACTGTTATTAACACCACACTCGTCAAGCCAGGAGAAAGGTTTGTGTTGTCAGCTTGTCGACCCCTGCTGGCCATGAGTGGGATCTGTAGAATAAGAAATGTTAAACTACAACCTTTTAAATGAGACAGAATTCCACCTAGAGAGAACCCAAAAATCTGAATGAAGGGATCAATGTTAAAAAAAAAAAAAAAACTTTAATATTTTTAAATATATCTACATAAAAGAGGAAATCTAATATCTATAAATCAATCAATAATAAGTTTTTTGTATATTTACCAACTTTTATCTTTAGAGCGAAATGCTTTTATCTGAGCTGCCTGTTTATTTTAATGTTTTTCTAATTTTCTTATTATCTTGTCCCTCTTGTCTTTTATCATTCACTGCAGTTTTTAGTTTGGTCTTTCTCTGTGAAGCACTTTGTACTTTGTTTTAACAAGTGAGCTATAAAGTTTTCATAAATTCTCAGATTTATATGTAAATATTTCCACATGTGATTAGAACTTTTAATTCATTCAGTGGTTTAGATCAAAATGTGTTGAGGACTGCTGTATTGTGTAATGGCTCTAAAGCTGAGCCTTAAACCCACAAAAGGTTAAATAAATACATTTCTGGGACTTTTGGGGCTCCAAATAAAATGTCAATAAAAAGTACAGGAATAGTAAAACTTAACATGTAAGCACAAATTTGTTGATTTCTGCTAGAAACCATTTTGCCAATTTTAGACTACATTCTATTCAGACAACTTCTTGAATAGCTGAGTGTATAATTACTTTGCCAAGTGAAAACAAAGGATTGGTAGAAAACATTTTTATAGAACTTCAACTTCTGGTTTTGGTATCAAAACCATACTAATATTGAAAATGTTGTTACTCTACCGGGTCCTTATTACAACTGTAGAATGTTAAGTTAGTGATCCCTGTGCATGTGTTTTAGGTGGAGTAAATATTAGATTTATGCAGTATTTTTTTGTAGTCTGGGCAAGATCTGTGAAGCACTAATGTTGCCGTTTGTAGTATTTAAAATAAACTCTGGTCCATCTATCAGGTCTACTGTAACCCAAGCGAAAATACTTAATTCTGAATTAACATGGCGGGGCTGCTTCCACGTGTACAAGGCTTGTATTTCATGAGTAATTGACAAAGCTGAAATTTGTTCCCACAAAATACTGTGAATACTTCTTTAAATTGTAAAAAAATATAGAGAGAAAATATTACTCATCCAAATATTCAAGTATTTTTAAATGGCAGTTTAGAGTTCGGAAACATAGTATGAAATTGTTAATACAATGCATTAAAGTTTAAACTAGTTTCCATAACAGTACATTAGTTACCAGGGACTCCGTGTTGTTTTAAATGTTTTATTCATACAGGTCCAAAACAGTAATACAATGCAAAGTACTGTAATTTTTTCACATCCATGAAAATTCTGTCTGAAAATCAGTTACTATAGCAATTTCATTGTATTGTTAATTGACTTCATGTTTTACAAGACTTTGAAAAATAGTCTGCAAAACCAAGTGTCTGTTCAGTCAAAACATCAACTCATCTCTCCAAATCACTATTCTGAATGCTTCGCTTCACTTCCAAAAACAATTTCCCCACAACTAAATCCTACAGGATTTGAAGACTGTGGTCACTGAGTTTATTGCCAGTACTTGAAAAAGTACTGGCAACCATATATGCATTGCAGAATTATTTCCCGCCAAACTGGCGATAAAGAGTAGCCAATTTACAGCTGACTGGTTCTTTTACAGGGAATGACTGAATAAACACTAAACTAGCTGACACTACAGGACCTGTAAAGGATCAAAGTTTATGCCCAATGTCACAAACCTCTGTGGTAAATAAATTGGATAGTGTACCTATTGCTTATGATCAACTGCTGTCTGTATTCATCTCTTCTTCAGTAGTCCTTAAAGCCCTTGACTTACCTGTTGACTGAGGGTCTCCAGTAGCCTCCGACGTCATCTCGTCCAAGACTCAAGGTAAACTAGTCACAGCTACGAGCTCTGTGACACCCTTCTTTCCTCAAGCTCTAACATGAAAAAGTTTCAATTTTGGTACTGAAGGGGACAAGCTAAAAAAAAGGTATGCTGATGAGTGATTCAGACAAGACCACAGATATTTCTTTGATCAGCGTGACGATTTTAACAAGTGTGTTAAACGTGATATCATTCACAAACGAATAATCATTAAATATAGTATTATTTTCGAAGGATCTTAGCAGAGTATTTGAATCAAATCAAGCGGTTACACTACTTGTGTTTTAGCGCTGGGCATGATTTTGGGCACATTTGTGAACAACATTTCTGCACAAATCCGTTTATTAAAAACAAGTTCGACAATGGACAGGTACATGTGAACGCTTTGCGGTAACTGTCCTATCAACAGTTACTTTTTATACTTTTAGCAGTTTATATTTTTTACAGCAACGACACATGCAGGTTTGGTTTTCGATGGAAAAGCTTAACAGGGTGGAACCAACGTGTAGATTAGATTTAATCCCAAACATGATTCAGTTCAGTTAAATCTACAGTCACAAGTATCGCCTAGAGACTGCTGCTGAAATCTTTCAGCTTTCTAAGGTCACACACAACATCAGAATGCTAATTATTGAAACGTAAAAGTACAACTTAAAAAAAAAAGAAAGCGCCTAACTCAAGACTTCAATCATTAAAACGACTACAGCACAGTAAGAAACTAACACAATCATGGGAAAAAATGCGAATAAAAACTGTCCCAAATAATAAAAACAAAAACAGACGTGGACGTCGACAATTCAGTTCCTCCTGTGAGCGTCGCAGGAGAACGTAACGCGCTCAGCCACAGACAGGAAGAGGATAGTGTCACGTGCTTCAGGAGGCGGCGAGCGGCGACGCAGTCGGACGACGATCCTGAAAGAAGAGCAGATGACACAAATGAACTGTCTGCAACTGATGACACAATGAACGTTGCTCCATCTTAATTTTCTACAGGTTGACATTTTTTCGAGCTCTGTATCTCGAGTCCCGTTCTTCAGTCAGAGACCTCAGACTTGAGTCTGTCTTTGTCGGATCATCCCACACTTAGCAGCTGAAATCCAAGTTAGTGCGCAGATGTGCATTACAAACGGATTTTCAACTTGAACAGCACTTCGTACGCATGCTTTTTCAAACCTTGTTTTCCCCACAAGTTGTAGAGCGTACAGGACAAGTCACAAGCTGCCTCTGCCTTTTACAGGGACGAATAGAAATTTTGGAAAATATATGAACACCAGTCTACCTCAGACCTATTCTCACCTTCACATGCCAGGGCCTTGCTTAATAAGCGTAGCGTGCAGGCGGTGGCGGAGGCAGCCGCTCTGCGTAGGGGTCCCTGGCGCGTGGAACTCCGTATGCCGGGACCCGGGAAACCGGAGAGAGTCGTGAGCGCTCGTAGGAGTAGCCATTACTGGCAGGAGGCATCGGCGAACTAGGCGGTCTCCTGAGGGGGCTGCGATCTCGGGCATAGTACGAGGACGGAGGAGGTGGAAGAGGTCGACGCTCATACGGGTCAAGCGACGAGGTCATAAGACGGTCTCGGACGACGGCTGAGGGGGGAGGGGGAGGAGGAGGGGCGCCAGGACGCTGGTCCTCGTAGGAGGCGATGCCATACGGACGGGCTCTGTACTTCTCATAGTAATCTACCACGCCGTATCTGTCCCTCTCGCCCTCATAAGGACGCTCAGGGTAAACAGCTCGTCTAGGGGGAGGGGGTGGCAGAGGAGGGGCGGGGTAACCTGGGGGTATATGGCTGAGGCGGCCTCTCAGGTAGCTGGGTGGGGGAGGCTCATGCCTCTCTCCTGGATAGCGTGGTGGCCAATAGCCACCCCTGTCTGGGGGAGGAGGGGGGTAGTCTTCCCGTTCGTCATGTCTGGGACGACTCTTAGAAATCTGGACATGGATGCGTTTGCCTAAATAAATAAAAAAAATACAGATGAAGAAAATATAATGTATATAATTAGGTTTAAAATAAAACATCACCACAACTACATCTAAACTTTTTAACATAGTGTCCCTTCCTACCTTGAAATTCAGTGTTGTCCAGTCCCTTGATGGCATCCATGGCTTCGTCAGAGTTGGACATGTGTACGAAAGCAAAATTCTTGACAACAGCACACTCTGTGACTGAACCATACTCTTCAAAGAGAGCACGGAGCTCATCATCAGCTCCCTTTTCTACATTCGCTACATGCAGTTTGACGGCGCCCTGGTTCTTCCCGTGGCTGGCCTCCACGTTGATTGGTGTACCATGTAGCTTGTAGAGGTGCAGATTCTTAATGGCCTTGGTGGCGGCCTTGCGGTCATCCATGTGGACAAAGGCGTAGTTCTTGATGATGGCACATTCAGTGACCGTGCCGTACTCGGTGAAGAGTGCCTTGATTTCATCCTGGTCTGCCTCTCGGGGCAGATTTCCCACGAAAATCTTCACCATTGTTCAAGATCTGTTTTAAAGCAACAGAGAGAGCGAGAGAAAGAAACACATAAGGGAAGGGAGACGAGACAAAACGTTTAATTGTATGTCGTTTATCCTGCTGCGGACCAAACAGGCCTGTTCATTGCAAAATGGCTGACGTCAGTTTAACTTACGCAGGACGTCTACACATTTTACAACCTATTCTAATTATTTAAACATAAACGTTACAACGGCTCTACCTAATGTGTTGCTATAACGCTACAGAGCAGATTATCTAAACACAATTATCGGTGTTGGTATAACCAAATTGCTACTGCTAGCAGTTAGCTACAGTTAGCTCGACGAACCACGCTATTACACAAAGCGCCGCTCACGATGTCAGCAGCTAAACGGCGAGCGGCAAACAAATAAGGAATTTTACGAGTTTAAAATATATTTCAGGAATTTAAAATGCTGTGAATTGCACGTATCATGACACAGCACGTACATATTAGGTTACCTTTCAACCAGGAATTCAAACCTTCCTTCTTCTCCTTATTGTTTAATGGCGGGTGGCACCGGAGCGCTTTCGAGACCTTTCCTTTTACCGACTTCCGTTTCGTTTTCGCCTGCCTTTCGTCTTCTTCATCCTCTGCATTTTCCCGGACCACGACCGCAGCGCCACCCACAGTCCAGGAGGATAGATGATGGTAGCCGTCGTAGTTTTATGACTAACAACAATTAACATTTAGCTGCCGTATGCTGCTTGCTTTCTGTCTACATAAACGAGTTGGCCTATTACATAATTTCTACTCTGTTCTTACTGACTGTATTCATATATTCTTCTCCCAGAGTCTGTATGAAAGGAAAACATTTGCACGCTCGGCATGTTTTGTCCTGGCTTGCCCTTGCTTACCCTTCCATCCCTGTCCAAGTTTGCTATTAATTAACCCCTTACCTTACCGTCACTTTTTTTACTGTTTGGTTTATGTAGTTTACAGGAACTAAAGGAATGCAAGTTACGACTTCTCGTAACTGAGTAAAATTAAATGAGTAACAGTTTAATTTTACACTCAGGACTTTGTTTGGTCATATTGCTGGCTCAGTAGTTAATATAAAACCATGCGCTGACTTCTTTCTGTTTTAAGTTGCTCCCATAAAAGTTTGGTTGCGTCATCTGGGAATTTTGGGGAATAATCAGTGCTGCGTTCAGGCGCCCATCTTAAAATTGTATTGTATAGAAATTGTTAGAAAACATCAACCCTTTCATTGAATGTTTGATTGGAAAAGTTATAAAAACACGCATTTTAACAAAGGTAGCAGTGGTAAGAAGAAAGTAGGGGAAGAGGGAAGATTTTTATTTTATTATATAAAGCTAGTGGCACAACAGTTTGGAGTAGCCATGTAATCACCGTTTTGAAGATGAGCCTAGCCTAATGTGTTGATTAGTTTTCAAATTAAATATGCCTATTGCAATTCTTCAAAACCCAAGGTGGTATCTTAATATTGCTTTTATAGTCTGTCTAACTAACTAAAACACACATATTGCTATTCAAAAAAAAGCAACATAGTGTTATATTTGACAGGAGGGAAATAGTGAATGGTTGGAATTTAACTTGATTAATTTATAATCAACATTGTTGTTGATTAATTCTCCATCATTACACGCACCAATTAATTGTGTCAACGCTGAAGAGGAACAATTAAATAATATGATAATATTTGTAAATTTAACTGGTGGTCCACTGAAATTACCCTTGAGTGGGAGTGCTTGATCAGAGCTTCCATCCTTCACCAAAACACAGACTTTTCCGTTCTATTCATTGCCGCTTTACCTCGTTTGCACTTTGTAATTGGGTTTTCCGAATTTGCACCTGAAGGCAGCATTGTTACTTCAGGGTCTTGTGAGAGTGACGAAACTCGAAGGAGAGACAACAACAGCTTGCAAAGAAGAGTTAGGAGGAGTCTTCCTGTTTTCACTCTGAGAAGCAACACCGTTAGTTAGTTCCCTCCAGCTTTTCTCTGGATGGAGTAAAAGCACGTAGGCTTATCTTCAAATTAAAAACTTCAACACACAGGTAAGGCACAGAAAATTAACAGCAGTCTCGGATTAGGCCTAAAGTTACACTTTTTGTTTTGAATGGAAACCCCCTTATCTCATTCCTTATGTTTGTTTGTCTTGTGTCCCAGCAGCCTTTCATCATTCAATGTCAACAGGTCGATTCGCCTTCTCCTGACTTCATCAACAACTTTAATGATGAATCTGTCCGCGACATTGGAGACGGAGGAGGATCTCCTGACTTGTCTCCAAATCAAGTTCTACCACCCTCAGCAGAGCTCTAAGGGTCTGTACGAGCTGCTGCCTCTGAGGAACAGGAGCAGACATTCAGTCGACGACCCCATCAAGCTGGGACGTGACGCCCAGGCCTGCACTTTCACCCTGGTCGATATCCGGGTGTCCCGCAAACAGCTGGCCCTCCACGCATACCGCACGCCCCAGAGCCCGGATCTGCTGTTCACCATCCAGAGCTTGAGCCAGAAGGGGCGACTGTCCGTGAACGGCTGCGCCCTTGGCCACCTAGAAAGGATGGACCTCCCGGACAAGGCCCTGGTCCGGTTCGGAGGGTATGAGATGCTGATCATCCGAGAGGCCGGCGAGGCCAAGGGGAGCTTCGAGGTGGAGTTTGAGGTGCTGGAGGCGCCCCCGTCCAGAGAGACGTGCATGTGTGTGCCCACTTCCACAGCGGTCATGGACACAGGATCACGCGCGTTCAACAGTTACCCGGCTGAACTCACGGCACTTGGGCCCCTGGAGACTGATGAGACTCTCATGTATCATTCATGACGAGCCACACTGCTCCGTGAAACGTTACTTTTTACTGTATTGTCTTGCGTTTCAGTGCAATACAATCTGCTGTGTAGTTGTTACATTAGAGTTCAATATAAGATCCCTCTTTGTAATGTGAAATCCAAGTATTATTTTGCACCCTATATCTTACTCCATGTATACAGATTCAAAAGCTGTGATCTTAATATAACTTTTGTTTTAAGTGTAAACGGCTTAAAGATATTATTAAATGTATTTACATTTTCAACCTATTTAACATTAAAGTTTTTGGTACCAACTTTTTTGTGAATGCTGTTGTTAAAGACTGAATATCAGCCACACAATTCAGACAACCAATTCAGGTTCTGTAATCAATGGAATAATGATTTCTATCTCTTCCCTGCACACAAAGCAGGGGAGCTGTGCATCTTCAACACATTGGGAACAGGTTTTTCCAGCTTTTTGCTTGTGATAAGAACTGCCATTGTTCATCTTGAGCTCAGATTACAGTGATAAAACAAAACAAAAGCCAAATCCACACCCCTCTGCTTGGCTTCAAAATCTGACCTTTCACATTTGTTTCACTCGGTGGTGGAAGACGTATTGAAGTATCAATTCAATTTGTCCCTTTTAAGTTAGAAAGTAATCCATAAGGTATCCATTAAAAATTTCACTCACAAACAGAAGTATTACCAGCAAAATATACAAAAAAAGTATCAGAAGTAGCGGTACATGTTATGTGGTATATAATATTGAATTATTATTGGGCACATTCATGTTGAAGTATTTTAATGTTCTTACTGGCTGAGGTAACTATAAATACATGTAAAATAGCCTAAATGTAAACAATATTTCCCTCTGAAATGTAGTGGTATAAAGTAGAATAAATTCAGAACACTAAAGCACCTTAAAATTTAATAAGCTAAAGTGCTTGAGTAAATGTAATTTTAGCCACTAATTTCAGAGCAGGCTGCGCAGACACACTTATCAGATTCTGTACTCAGCGGCATGATCAGCGTCTAGAGAATCCTGATGTTACTATACTTCATTTACAAGCAGGATGTGCAATGCAAGATCGTTATCGCAGGGAAACAAGAGCGATGGCAGCGTTATTGTCGTTAACTACAGCAATAACAAAAGTACAAAAGTCAAGTTTGGAAGGTGATCACTGCCATGTAGGCGGCACATGGATGAGTCCAACAAACCCTGTAAAACCTCCGGCCAACACAGACTCTAAACACTCATGATTTCTCAAAACTCGAGGGCACCAAGAAGGGAGTGTGCTTAAAGTAAAACTCATTTGACCTGAAAAGACAGTAAAGATCAGTCAGCGAACACTTCAGAAAGGGGAAGAGAAAATGCCACTTCTCATTTTTCTAAATTTGTAAATCTGGAGGATTTCCTTTCAACTTTATTTTCAACAATTTTCAGATTGTTTTGTCTTGTTTTCGTTCCCCGAGTATGGTGTAGTATCTATCCATTCAGGGCTGGTTACCTGTCCAGGAGGCGTCTCTCTCAGTGCATGCTGGCATAAGACCCAGTCAACTGTAACCCTGAAGTAAATACAAGAAGCACAGTGACTCTACTTAAGTTTGTTAATCACTTTTTCCTCACTCCTCAAGAGACACAGCGTCATGTTGGCCACATCTGACAAACTTTATCAAGACAAAGGACCTTGCAAAATTTTATCATAAAACAAGTAGCTGATTGTGATAGATTTTTTTTTTTTCTTAATCACCGTCAGGAAATTCTGACTCTTTATGTAGGGCGCAACATTACAGCTGAATTTAGTAAAAACAGTGGATTGTGTAATACCAGTTTGTCTGTCCTTATATCCCGTACCCTGAGGGTGAGCTTTTGTTACACATGACAAGACTGAAATTCCACATTGAGACTGTTAGCTAGAACAAGGCTTTCTTAGCCTAACCAAGAGAAGAAAAAGTTAAGGCGGTCCAGATAATCCATACATACATATCCATATGCTTGGAGCTGCAGGATAGAACAGATCAAAAGATCAGCACTACGTCTTTCTACAAGTTCAATAAACCAACTGGGATTAACTGCAAACTATTGAGATCGTATTTAAAAACCCAGAGAAAGGCCTCTAACAGATTAGAAGTGTAACCTCATTACTCTACGTTTGTTTAAAGAGGGACAGACATTGGAGGGACTGTTTGAAGACAGGACATCAATTCAGACTTTGAGAAAAATGTGGTTATTTGCTTAGATTGATAATGTAAAAATCATATAGGAAAGACAATGTAAAAAAATCCAAGACAACTTATAAAATACATTTTAAAATACATTTTATTAACAATTAAGTGCAGCAATAATTTGTATTCAACTGCCTATATGAAATATTTTAGCTTCATAAATAGTTTAGACATGACACTAGCAAAAGAAAAGTTGTGCGTTTATCATCACACAATGGTTTCAAATGTTTGGTTTTTTTTTGTTTGTTTTTTAAATTGTCAAGTTTCAGATCACTTGAGTCAATAACATCAGAATTTATTTTCCTCTATCATTATTTCAGTGTTATTAGCTGCAGAGAACAAAGATGTAACCATGCAGGTTTTCTGAGGACTGGACATTCACTTCAGCTCACCAACCAAAGGACCAAACTTTCACTGACGATCCAACTTCACCTCCTGTAACAACAAGTTCACAAAACTGAAAAGCCTCTTAAGGACATCATAGTGTACTCGTACTGCTTTACCGTTAATTACAGGACCATCTGATCCCATCTATTACTAGCAGGTAATGTTCAGAGGCTACAAACATCTGCGAATTCACTCCAAGACCCATTACAGCCACCAGAGCAGAGACAGACCTGCAGACACAGAGACAGGGTCAGACACCCCACTCCTCATCAAGGAGAACATTAACAATGTTAAAAATAAGTAAATAAAATGTCTGAACAAAAACTTACATTTTTTCTGTGTTCACTTTTACATTTTGGCAAGATACAAAGTTTTAGAATAATCCCCCCCCCCTACACTTCCTTTAAAAATATTCAAGGCTTCTAGATTTTGAAAATAAAATTTCTTACTATTGCCAGTGTATAGGAACACTGTAGCGTGAATGCAACACAAGAGGGAGACAGGAGACAATTGATTTCATTAGTACAGTGGTTCCCAAACTTTGTCACGCCTCCCTTTAGAAGCAAAAAAAAGTTTTAAGGCCCCCCCGACTCCAGCGATTTGATTTAATTTTTACCAATCATTAACCAAAAGGGCAACTAAAATGAAGATTCAGGTTAGCCTTGCTTGCATCTGAGCCCTCTTTTTAACGCCACCACATAAATAACATTCATGCAACTTCAGGTCAGCTCAACATCCACGCCCCCACCCCCGCGGTGGCACTACGCCGTGCGAAGGGGGTCCGCCCCTCAGTTTGAGAACCACTGCATTAGTAAGAGGTGTTTTGCAGTACAGTTTCAACAATGCCTACCTCTTTTCTACAGGATGCCGCACATCTCCCGAGGACAACTTACCATGAGCTGGCACATCTCCAGCACAGAGTCTACCAACCTACAAAGAGCACAAACACTAAGAACACATAGACTGCATGCAATTTGTGGTACATATATAAATGGAAAGTATGACTAATGTGTACTCAGTGACAGAAGTGAAGAATGCAAAGAGAGACTTTAGAACTGTCGCAAGACGACATGGGCCATCGCAAAGCTCAGTTAATTATTGGTCTATAACACCATGTATTGGCTCGACACAAGGTAGGCAATGGGCGGTTATTGAGTAAAGATGCAGCTCCCTGTGTGCCACAACATCATATCACATCCGGTGGACGCAGCACAAACAAAAACTACAGTAAATATATTTGCACATCACTCGAGAGTTTGTGGACAGCTACAGATCTTATTAGTGGAATTAACTTCGAGGGTGTTAGAGGGGAAGTCACACTCAAACTCTACTTTTTGTTAATGTCTAAGTTTGCGTACATGCATTTTCAGAAAGTAGACACTAATTTAACTTTCGCCACGTCTTCATTATCAGGAACAGCTGCTAAATAAAATGCATTTCTTTTCTCACTTGTCCGGTTGCTCAGATGAAAATGCGTCAACATGTCAGTGGAAAGTAGACTGGGCGTGGTATCGAAAACAAGGAACTTAAAACTCGTTTGACGATGAAAGAGGGGCTGAGAAAACATCACCTACCATGTGTCAAGCTGATAACTCTGGAGGGTGTAAAGAGAGAAACTGAAAGCGTTGAATAGTGGCGGAGTGCCAAGTCATTAGACTACAAGGCCTAACCAACGAGGAATAATTTCACAGTTAAAACGAGGTTTTTGGTTTCATTTGTTTATTAAAAAGCCTTCAAATGAAAAGCAACTTGTAAAGTAAATAAAATGATACATAACGGTGATATAGATTCTATTTTCGCATGAAAAGATGACAAAGTGAAAAAAGAAACAAAATAATATCACACTGGAACTTTTGATTTGTCATGCCACCATGTGTCGCAAATCTTGCTATAGATTTACTGTACAACCTGCCACACAAGTATTATATTAAAGCACTTCTATACTACATTTTATAAACTTATTTTGATGAGCATTTTGTCGTCAACTAACAACCTTAGTCTGAACACAATAATTTTTGTTTACAAAGACTACATATTTTCAATTAAATGACTTCCCTTGTTATGAAATGAAATGCCATATCCATTTAGAAAGATTAAAGAGCAAAAGTGTTCCTGGCCATTAACAGTACTGCGGCACACTGAAATAGACCAAGCACCTAAGCCAGCATCCTATTCTGCAAAACATTTTAAGGATTTGAACAGTAAAACAAGCAGAGGAACAGAAAAGGCATAAAACAGCTCAGAAGAATACGTGAACTGTACACATGGAATCGTATGGTTTTAAGTACGGGGTTGTCCGCAATACAGAATCTCCCAGTTAGTCTCCGGCGAACGCAACGCAATCCGCCATAGACGAGGGGGATGTATAGCGCCACGTGCATCAGCAGACGACAACGATCTTGTCATATTCTAAACCTGGAAAGAGAGCACACCACACATGTCAAGAAGCGCATTTTACTCAGGATTCGCGCAAGACTGATATTTGATTAAAGCAGCAATATTTTAGGATTCTTTCAGCAATCTTTAATTGTTATATTGGCATATTGATCTCTTGGCTGAATTATATCTGCAGGAATTAAGAGCTCTGGCTAAAGGTGATGGTTTAAAGCGTGATTCTGCCTCAACCTGTGGATTCATTTTGGTACATTTTCATCAATCACTCTTTCTTCTCATCAATGTCATTTATGTTGTCATGAAACTTCCACCCTCTGTTCTCACCTTGTATTACGCTCTTGTGTGCCTAATAACTTGCATATCGAGGTGGAGGTGGCATCGGCGCTCTCTCTGAGAAGGAGTCCCTGGGGCGGGGCGCTGCATACATTGGAGCTCTAGACAGCGGGGAGAGCCGGGACCGCTCGTAGGAATACCCGTTACCAGCTGCTGGAGCAGGTGGAGGGGGTGCTCGTCTGATGGGGCTTCGGTCCCTGACCATGTAGGACGGAGGAGGGGGAGGGGGCGGACGGCGGTCATATGGGTCATGGGACCCCATTCCAAGACGTTCTCTAACCAGCGCCGAGGGAGGGGGCGGAGGAGGGGGGATGGCACTGGAACGGCGGTCATCGTAGCCTCCCATGCCATACGGGCGTGCTCTGAATTTCTCATAGTAGTCGACCACCCCGTAGCCTTCTCGCTCGCCATAGCCGCGGTCGGGATATGGTGGTCGTCTCGGAGGAAGGGGCAACATTGGCGGAGGCGGAGGTGGAGGAGGGTAAGCCGGCATGCGGCCTCTGAAGGGAGGCTCAGGCCTCTCCCCTGGGAAGTGAGGAGGATAATAGCCTCCTCTGCCAGGCGGAGGTGGATAGTCCTCCTCGGGTTCCCCTCTGGGTCTGCTTTTTGATATCTGAACATGTATGCGCTTTCCTGAGAGAGAGAAAAACATTGTCCCTCAAATCTAAAAGGCTGAATACCGACAGCAGGGAACCACCCCCCCCCCAACAACTTCTAATCCTTTCATTCACAGAGCAGAATATCACATTTACTTACCTTGAAACTCTGTGTTATCCAGGCCCTCTATGGCATCCGTGGCCTCATCGGAGTTGGACATGTGCACAAAGGCAAAGTTCTTGACAATGGAGCACTCTGTGACCGTGCCGTACTCTTCAAACAGCTCACGGAGCTCTTTATCGAAGCCCCTTTCAACATTGGCTACATGGAGCTTCACAGGGCCCTGGTTCTTCCCTCTGCTCGGCTCCACGTTGATGGGTCTGCCATTCAGCTTATGGAGATGGAGCTCACGGATGGCCTTGGTGGCCGACTTGCGGTCTTCCATGTGGACAAAAGCGTAGTTTTTGTACTTGGCGCATTCTGTCACCTTGCCGTACTGGCTAAACAGAGCCTCCACTTCCTCCTTCTCAGCGTGCTGAGACAGGTTCCCAATGAAAATCTTCACCATTGTCGTTCCTGTACCTTTCTGAAAGTGGCAGAGACAGAGTAAGACAACTCGGGCCACCGTCCAGTAACAGAAAGTAGCAAGTGAAAGAGCAAATGGTGAACGTATAACGTCATTATCAGGAAATAGAAAGCATGTAATCGAGGCGACTGTAGGCGAAGAGCCACCGAAGCTAAATGAAAATTAAATCCGTCGCCAAGTGGTACAATTACCTTCTATCTTATTAAACCAAAAAAGGCACGACTTCAGATACAGTTAACTTTTTTTAAAAGTTAAAGTGGAAGCCTCCGTTTCCGTGTTTGCACTTCCTGGTCACGGCGCTGCTAGATGGACTCGTTTCATTTGAATGGATGCTACCAGCAAGCTAGCGTTAGCTCTAAAGTGTTAGCCATTTTGTTTCTTATGACTGAACAAAATAAAAACTCACTTCAGCCACTGACTCTGTATGCAGTTACGTTTGGACACGTGTGAAAACTACAGGCACAGCGGAAATAATCGCAACAGAAACAATTAGAGGAAAACATTAATACAATACTCACCGCATGAGATCGACGCGACAACAAAGTCGAAACTCAAAGAACAAACAGATCCAGCAGATACCGACTGGCGCTCTGCGCACAAGTAGGAATCTGATTGGTGGATGGACATGTCGCTCAAAATGTACGGACTGTGATTGGTTAAAGGTATGTGGGAGAGTTTTGGCCGGAAATGGCTTTTCGTTTCAGACCGCGAATATCCTTTGTATGGAAAAGTTTGTTTTCACCTGTAGAGAAGCAAATTAAGTTTCTGTTTACAGTATGTTCTGACGATTAATTGGGAAACGGATCCGTAAACTATAATCCTGCACATAGATACAGACACATGAAACACTGCAGTTTTACGTTTAACGTTATTTATAAATTTAGGATTCCTCATATGTTTTGGTTATGTAATTATACTGAGATATTTTGGGAAAGAAAATCATGAACATAATTTCGTGTGTTCTCACAGAAGAAATGCAATGTTGTCTGTTTTCATTATTCATTCATTTATTATTTCTTCTTTTAACAAAACCTGTGTCTATTTAATGTTTACATTTGTGTATAATTTATTTCTTGTTGTCATTTTATGCATTATGTTCGTTTCTGCTCTCACATCGCTTTTTATTTGATGATCTTATATATTTAGGCTACCCTGTTAGTTGGGAGAAGGGAATGAGTTTCATAATCAGATATATCATGTATATTAGAGGTTGCATTGCATAATTATAAGTCCTATATTATTGATACTGTCAGTCCAAATACATTTGAAGAAATTATATAAATGATATTCCATAAGAAGAAGAAATGAATAAATGACGCCTGAAATCCACATAGGCCTACCTGCGCATTCATGGAGTAGTCAGGCGATTCTTTTCTGTCTGGACATGAGACAGAATCCAGCATACCAGAGTCCCAGAGACATTAATTATGCATAAAGAGTCTGGTGAACTCGTTTGATCTGTACGTCCTCCTCAAACACTGCTTGCAGTCTGGAAATGTGGAGGGCAGGATTCTGGGAGGAACAAGGTTTCTGGGATTTGTCACTCCCGCTGTCTAATGAAACGACAAAAATGAAGTGATAGTTGCATGGTAAAAGATGCAACAGTTAGGAATTACTTCAGTGCCAAGAGAATGGCTGATATTGAGAATACATGTGTACTTTTCCTTAATTTGGTGCTTTACTAGTGTTTTTTAAAACAGTAAATGTCCAGTAGAGGGAGACACATGCTGACAGAAGTGAAGTCAGAGGAGCCAGGTGCTCATGTCCTGCTCCCCAGGAACTTTCCAAGAAACAGGATCAACAGTGTTCTAAACTGAATTTGATTAATTAACCACAATTTCAACAAACATCTAGACATTGCCTGAGCGGACACGTGTCTCCTGTCACTGTGTTGAAGCTTCACCAAGCTATAAGACAGTTTTAATGCACGATAAAATGAAATATGCGACCAGTTAGACTGCTGAAGTAAATGTGGAAGTGAAAACTGTAAGTAGTAAATCAAAGTATATGTTAGTCCTCATGACTTAACAGAATTCGTCATGGTTTGTTGGACATGAACTAATCTAAAGAGAAACAAATAAACTAAAATACAACTATTCATCTTTGCGAACCTTCTCACACTCTGACTTGGGAGACTCCACCACATTAACATTAGTGTTTTGAAGCCATTCCTGTTTAACTTTGGCTCTGAGGTCTGGTCTCGCTAGAAAACCAACCACCAACCCTGTATGTGTGAGGTTTGCTGTTGAATGGTTTACCTCCCAACATTTTTCCCAGTATTGTGCTGCATTCCTAAACCCTCTGACTTCTCAGGGCCTGCAACAAAGAGGCCTCCTCTCCTCACAGCATAACCGTGCAACAACCAAGCACAGGTTGGCTCTCATCCGACCACTGAACACTGTCCCACTTAGCTTCAGCATCTCCCAAATGCTGTCTGACTAACCTCAGATGTTATGTGACTCTTTAATAGTGGCATTTAGCCAGCCATGCTCTCATTAAGCAGTGTTACTGGTGAAGGACCCAGCCAACAAGTTGTCTCATTATTATATTCTACTATCATACTACTGTTTGGTATTTTTCACTAACCTTTTCACTGATTTATGTAGAACGTTCTTTTATTTGTCTGATTTTCCTGGAAAGAATTTACACTTTTGTTGTTGACTTTCAAAATGTAAAAATAAAACTAAAATAAAACATTACGTACATACTTGTTTTGACAGGCAAGTTGTGCTCTTGATTAACATCGAGTACAGGATGTCCAGTTTCTGTGGGTCCAGAGACAAACAGCAACTGTGATCCTGTACAGTCACTCAATAAAGTACCTTTGATTCCCATCGAAAGTAGAATTACATCATAACGTAATAAGTGTGGTGTCCAATGGTCACTTTTAACGGGTTCGTTAGAGAGGCTCAGCAGCTGATAAAAGGGGGATAAAAGACCCATATTTTAGCAAAGGCTTATTCACAGCAAGAATTATTACACAAGAGTCATGTGGATGAGGCAGAGTACTACTCGGTGCTAAAAGTGGCAGTAATAGCTGGACTTAAAATAGCTTGAGACAAATTTAGTTCAGTTGTACCTTCCATTTCTTTTTTGTAACCAAGTCATTTTATATTGCTTAAATTCCTGCAGTATATTTTTACCTAATGCCTCAGTTATATTTAACCCTACAAAAGTTGGGAGATATATTGATAAGAACAAACTGTTGAGAAAATATGTATACCAAACAATGAAAAGTCCTTTATTGCCATCAGAACATGAGTGAGAAAACCAGAGACAAAATCTGACACAGTGAGGAGTCGACTGTACAACCAGCATCCACACAGACACACACACACACACACACACACACGCAGCAGTCAGCTGTCTTTCAACAGGACGTGAGGGATGCCGATACATAAGGAAATTACAGTACTCACACAATGAGGTATAAAGGTAAACACAAACATACCAGATAGGGCTTCGTCCTCCACTCACACACATGCAACTGAACCAAGGTACAAATACTCAAGTGCTCGTTCACTCTTTAAAAACACAACACACAGGCGAGCAGAAACGTCTAAGAGCAGCAACTGGGTCATCTCGATTCAACCGCACTCCCCATTCATCTGTCTGTCAAAACCTTTGGTCATGTGGACGCTTGCTTTGTCATGCACAATGTTGCCCTTGTAATTTAATACTTTGTGAGACTCTGAAACTTGTGAGCGGAGGAACGGGTCCCTTCCTGACTCGCATCCACCAATAGGAACTGGGGCGTTCTGGGCAGATGAGCGAGGGGGGGGGGGGGTAAGTCAAAAATATTTTCTTGCTCTTCAAAGTTGAGTTTCTACGTTAGTAGGACATTCAGTGTGTACATTAGCAGCAATTCTATTGAATGAAACAATGGCTTTGTAAGTCAGATTATTAACACCCCTTTTTCCTCATGCACAGGACAGGCAGCCCCTACTACTCGTTAACTAAATGCCATGCAAGTTAGAAAAATAGACTGCAAACTCACAAGACAGAGAAATCAAAGTTCATCTCCAGAGAAGAGGTTGATTTCACTTCAGTTTTTTATTTGATATTTTCTAAGATGTGGAAATAGCAACAAAAAAAACTTGAGAGCGGTAACCAAGACAACAGTAACAACATGAGCAGAGAGCCACTGAGGTTTCGAGTCCCTCTCTTACTCCATTTGCCAACCCAAACTGCCAGGTACAAGACAAACACTTGTTTACAGTTTTCTGTTGCGGTCCTGTACTTGTCTGCGCCACGCGGACGACCACGGCGACTTACACGCACCTGGTGTGTATGCCTATTGTGTGTGTGTGTGTACCTGTAAGTGTGGGCCCTGTGTGTCATGTGGCTCTCACGTCATTTGAAGCTGTCCCAATCCCACAGTCCGCAGTCTCCAGGCCCTCCCCCACTAGCAGCACCCGTCCCAGAAAGGTGGTCGCCCTCGTCTGCATCCGGAGCTGCGCGCTGCAGTGCTTTATCAAGACACGAGTGTGGCTGAAAGCTAGCACCGCCGCCCCCTCCGACACAGAGAAAGAGGCACGGTATAGTTCTCTTTTAAGTCTAAATCTATAGTTCAAGTCTGCCGTCTGTCTGGCCTCAGCCTGTTCTGCTTCTAAGGCTGCATGGGTGCCACCCTGGACCCTCAAAGACCTAACACAGGTGAGAGGAGGAAGTGACACACACCCCTCAGGCCTGCTGATACAGAGATGCCTCACTGTGCGACCCGGGCTGCGTTGCGTTGCCTCACCCCTCCCAGTTTAGTTTTGTGGTTGCCAAATATCTCAACTGTGCACACACAAACACACACATACGTGCGCACGCACGCACGTACACGCACGCACTGACCACGACGCTGTCCATTCTACTCGGAATGAGGACAAGCGCCTTGAATTTCTTGTTTGGCACCGGACTTCTTTTTTTGCCCCCTCCCTCTCTTTCTGTCTCCTCTTTTCACTCATTTTACTCCCTCACAGGTCTATTCTCTTTTTGGAACCCCCAAAAAAACAAAAAAAACCCTGGAAGACCACCAACTTTTCTTCCTCTCAGGAAACAAAAGCAAACTTAATGAAAAAACTTTTTTTTTTATTTTTATTTTTTTCAAATTCAAGGCACAATGTCTATCAGTATTCCAATCTGTCTGTCTCCACTCCCAGGTACAGTGTGCGAACATCGCGTCACATAAGCCATTGGACTACCTGCTCGTACGCCACTCCCTACAGCTTACGTCTCTCGTCTGTACTTTTAACACTGTTAAGAGAAGCGTCTGTTTTGGTTGAGAGAGCGACCGCCAAGTCCAAACCAGTGATAAACAATGAACAAAATTAACATAAAAAACACAAATAAAGACAACCGTTTCAAAAACAAAACAAAAAAAAAATAGTCTTGTCCTGTTTCTCGTATTTCAGTATTTTTAAAAATCAAGTCATATCCACCAGCTCTTTTTTGGCAAGCTAGTTGTTTTTTTAAATAAGCACTAAGTACTGATAGATAGGATAGCATACACCGTTAACGTGTGTTTTTAAGTAGATGCGTTTGTCGTTTTTTTTGTACTTTTTCACTCTCATAGTATGAATTCAGGTATTTTGTCAGGTACTTTTCACTCATCTGTTTAAGGTTTA